CCTTGGGTTTCCGAGGCAGTATCACTACGGAAGTAGGATTGCCCAACCTTCCTTCCGAGGAGTGGCTGGTGGGTTTGAACTGCCAGCCGTCTGGTTAGCAGGCAAGTGTCTTAGCTACTATGCTACCAGAGCTCCCTAATAGAGACATTAGTACCTGATATACAAACAAGGTTGCTGTGTTTGGGGACCAGTGAGGAGGCTGGAGCAGAGTGGGCAGGGAAATGGGAGTGGGGTGGCGGGGAGAGAGGTGGGGAGGAGCAGGGAGGAGACTGGGCTCCATCGCAGACTTCGGCTGTGGTGATGCCAGATTACTAAATGTCACAAAGATTCATCCTGGGGGTGTGCTGGCACTGAGCCCCACAGTGCTCCCCCCAACCCCGCTTCATTCTCAGACCTCCAATATCTTCTTCAGGCTTAACCTCAGGCCCCCGGAATCTGACCTGCTACCGGATATTCAATGGTGCCGGCTACGAGTGTTCCTGGCTGTACGAGGGCCCCACGACCGGGGTCAGCCACTTCCTGAGGTGCTGGTGAGGACCCACTCTGATCTCCACACCCTTTTCCACTACCCTGCCCTTGCTCCTGCTCCCTAATGGTGGCACCCTGAGATGTGTGACCCAGGCCTGGTCATTGTTTCTTCCTGTGCCTCAGTTTCTCATCTGAGAAAGTAGGGCTGAGCCTCCATCATGTGGAGTCAGCATAGGTGAGCATCCCAGAGTGGATGGCACCGAGGGGCTCCCAGGGCCTTCCTCCGTCTTCACCCCCTCACTCACTCATCCATCCATCCATCCATCCATCCATTCATTTCTTCCTTCTCTCTGTGGTGGGAGATTCTGGGGTCCCCTCCAACTCCCTAAGTCCAAGGAGTCCCCAGGCTGTAGTGGGAGGAGAAACAGAAGAGGCAGAAAAGAATCCAGAGGGTTGATACACATCTGCCATGGCCACTGCCATCCTGGGACCCAATGTTGTTGTTGTTATGTGCCATCGAGTTGGACCCGACTCATAGTGACCCCTCCTTGGGTTTCCGAGGCAGTATCACTACGGAAGTACACTGCCCTTCCTTCCGAGGAGTGGCTGGTGGGTTTGAACCGCCAGCCTTCTGGTTAGCAGTCAAGTGCCTTAGGCACTACGCTACCAGAGCTCCTTGGGATCCAATAGGACGCCACATTCACCATCAACCCTCTCTGTTCTGCAGCTTCAGCCCTGGGCACTGCTGCTACTTCACCGTGGGCTCAGCCACCACGCTGCAGTTCTCTGATCAGGACGGTGTGCCCGTGCTCCGCACTGTCACTCTCTGGGTGGAGTCCCGGGTTGAGAACAGGACAGAGAAGTCGTCTAAGATTTCCCAGAAGCTCTACAGCTTGGGTCAGCACCTTATCAGCCCCCTGTTCTCCCCCTCCCTGGGCAGTTATCACCCAAAGAAGTCTCAGGTTCCCTGGCCGGGACCTAAGGGATTCTGTCTCCTGCTGAAGAACTCTCTACTGCCAGCTGTTGTCACATCCGTCACTGTGTGGGACACGGCAGGGTCTTCCATGATCCCCTTCCGAATCCCCTCCTGTTGGGCACTTGGGTTGCTTCCGGTTTCTCCCTGGTATCCATAATGCTGCTGGGACCCTATTGAGTCTTTATATCTGTCCCTATGACCCAACAACATGCATCCAGCATGAACTTTTGGGCTCCTACTTGTCCCCACAAGGAGCTCTGGTCATGCAAAGGCTAAATCACCCAGCTGCTAACCAAAAGGTCTGGAGTTCGAACCTACCACCAGCAGCTCCGTGGGAGAAAAGACCTAGCAATCTGCTACCATAGAGAGACCTTGGAAATCCTATGGGGCAGTTCCACTCTGTCTTACAGGGTCGCTGTGTGTTGGGATTGACTCAAGGGGCACACAACAGCAACAGCTGTTGCCACGATCAGTCGTAGGGGATGTGGGTCAGGCCAGCAATGTTGCTGCCTCGGGCTGGTCACAGGGTGAGGCGAGTAACGCATTGCTTTGGGCACTGTCTTATTCTCTAATGCTGCTGTAACAGAAATACCAAGTGGTTCTTTTTAACAAACATGAATTTATTTTCTTACAGTTTAGAAGGGTTGAAGCCCCAATTCAGAGTGCGGGTTCCAGGGGAAGGCTGGCTCTCTCTGTCAGCTCTGAGGGAAGATCTTTGTCTCTTCAGCTTCCGCTTTCTGGTTCCTTAGATATTTTGATGTGGTGTGGCCTCTGTCTTACCCACTTCTCTCATGTACTTGTTTAATCTCTTTGTGTCTCAGAAGAAGTTGATTTAAGACATACCTGTCTTGTTGTTGTTGTTGTTGTTATGTGCCGTCGAGTTTGGCCCCGACTCATAGCAACCCCTCCTTGGGTTTCCGAGGCAGTATCACTACAGAAGTAGGATTGCCTAACCTTCCTTCCAAGGAGTGGCTGGTGGGTTTGAACC